CTGCAGTTAAGAGAAACGGCCACTGTGAGGTCATTAGCAGAAAAAGGGCCTCAAACACGAACTATAGAGGAATTAAAGTGAAAAGCATTTTCAACAAAGGATAAAAAGATGTAGGAGCCAGAGGAGGATTCAAAGGACGGTTCCTGTGCATGAGTGTGAGGTCTTTACCAGAGGGAGGGAGGCCCCCAGCTGGCTGGCGTGGGGCTGGGGGAGAGGACTGCAGCCTGGCAGGGAGTCGGGGTGTGGTGGGACAGGCAGCCACTTGCAGGGCAGAGGTCACTGAGAAAGCTTCACCCAGGGAAGGCAGGTGAGACGAGGGGAAGACGAAGGCGAGAGGCCACTTAGAAGCTAGGCCACTTAGAAGCTACAATAGTAGCGTAATGGATGTGGCAAGTGCCTGACCGCATGTCTTCGGGCTCAAGAACCCTGGTTGCATTTCAGCAACGTTGGTGAAGAACTGGGGGCATGAATGCTTATTTTTCTGATGCCTTCTGCTTTTCAGTACATTTTCTATATTTATTAGAAGGCTGAACACTGTTGCAAGTAATCACTCACCCATTTCTGAGTAGTCGTAACTGCATCATCTTCGTCTGATGTTTGAATGCTTTACCGCGTGGATGGGTAACTGTGAAGGGGGCTGTCATGGTCACCTGGCAGCTTTGCCCCTTGCCTCTCAGTGGCAGATGCTCTGCCCCCTGGGACTCCTGTACTTCATACCTGCTGGATTTCAGCAGGGAAGCGAGGGAGAGCTCATGGCTTTCCAGCGAGGGGCTGCACTCAGAGCTCTGTGTCTTTTCTCTTGTGTTCTCGTCCCACTTTCCCGGCCCGTGGACCGAGGTGCGGGTGAGACAGTGGAGCCACAATGGATTCTGCAGAGTGGAACAAACATCGTGCAGCAGGAGGGGCAGCAAGAAAGAGGGCCTGAGCAGGTGGATGACCTCGGAGGACCACGTGGTCACTCTGTCTGGACCAACTCTGGGCCCCGGACAGAGGCAGGACAGGAGCTGGGACGCTAAGACAGGTCCCAGGTGTAGTGAAGCTTCGGGTGTCTGCAGGCCCATTGGAGACTGGAGAAAACCAGGGAAGAGGATGCTTACAGGAAGTGAGACATGGTTACCAAAAGGAAAAGGAAGAGGAAACGTACATGAGCCCTGGACTTGCTTTCTCTCAGTCAACTTGCCAATGCTAATTTTAGATATCCTGTGGCCCGAAACCACGTTGCAGCCTCCTGCTAGCTTTGCTGTAGGTAGCATCTCCGATGTGCAGGTCATGAAAACACTACCTGGGCAATCAAGATACAATGTGTGAAGTACAGGATCCCAGTGATGAATGTAACTACTGTGTACCTAAAAAGTACCAATAAACTCAATGAAAAACACCACTGCCTGGGCTACTTCCTGGGGCTCTGAGCCGATTTTGCTCAGAACCCCGACCCTTCCCTCGGGCCCATGAAGGTCCGATTGACTCACGCAGGGTGAAGGCCTTGGCGCCTCTGTCTTCCTGCTGTCTGTGCCTGTTGCTGCCTAATCCCTTGGGGCGGGTTCTGCTCTGAAGAGAGACTTTCTGACCACTTAGACTGTCTGGTCCAGGCCTGTGATCCAGGATGAGGGTGTCCGACTGCCTGTGTTTTCCTTCACCTACCCTGGAGCATCTTCAGCCCTCAGGCCCTGGAGTGAAAGACCCTGTGACCCCTCCCTGCAGGCCGCGTGTGAACTGGGCCCTGGGCTGTGGCCCCTGTAGGGCTCCTCCCGTGGGCCTGGCACTCCAGGACCAGGACTGAGGATCTTATGGCACCTACGCAGAGTAAAGCCTCCATCTTCCACTGTGTCCCCCAGAGCCCCTCTGGATTGAAATCTGTGCCATTTCATCTTTGAATTTAGCTCTCTTCTGCATGGAAAAGTGGGAGAGTCTCTTGGGGTTAAATCTCTTGCCAGAGATTTCACAAGATCAAGACAGATGTGTTAAGGTAGGTAGCATATTCAGAATTCAAACAAGTAAATCTTTTTATACATGAGACATTTTCATAACTTGTGCTGTAAAAGCTATTGGCTCATCTTTTAAAAAGATAGTATTACCTTTCTTGTCCTTTCCTGTTTGGTCTACTTTCCAAGAAACTGCTGAAGCTAAAGGACAGTTATTTTTACTTTTTTATGAGAGAGTAAAAGTCTCATACGTTTTCTAGTAGAAGGAGAAAAACAATATTGGACAAGCAGGAATAAAAATAAAACTAGTGGAGTGAAAAATAAAGTTGCATTCTTCCAATCACAAGTGTCGATAGAAAGTGGCCCGGCGCGGTCGTGGGTGTGGGGTTGGGTGTGGCTGTGTGCAAGGAAGCCAAACCCTGGGGCGCGTGGGGACAGTGGCTTACCCGACAAGGGCTGGGAAGCCGTCTTACAAGAAGCAGCAGAACTCCTTGTTCAGATGATTGCAAACGGACGAAACTGCATGTGTTGGGAGGTATCTGTAGATGAAAATGGCAGATAGAAACCAGCGGTCTGCTGTATTTCTTCATTTTAACCCAAGAGAGATCTACAGGAACCTTTGGATTTGTCTCACTTAGTGAAATGTCTCTCCTTCTGTCTGTGAAGCTTCCTCTCTATCTGCTTATCTGCTTCTGTTATATTTGGAATTTTGGTTTGAAGTCATCTGTATTTTTCTACTTCTCTACCTATTGTAAAGTGTTGGACATTCTGGAATTTAATCCGTTTAGGGAAGAGACATAATTCCATGAATTTTTCATTATTTCCCATGTTTATCACAATGTAACTGCTTTCAAGCTCAATGACAGTGATTCTTTCCAAACCATTTTGAATTTGTTTATAAAAGAAATGTTATGAAAGTATTGTATCAGCCATTTTACTACGGTAAAAGTACAATATGTGTCATTTACTATCTTTCCCAATTTTCCATCAATCTTATACTTTTATCAGGAAGAGAAATCAAGCTTGGCTGATATGATTTGTCTGATTGGTGTCCACAAATGTCAGGGCCTCCAGTGCGATGTCTTTATTTCCCAGGCAGCTTCCTATAAAGACTGAGAAGTTTCCAGCTAGGCACAGGGAATGGGGATTTGTTTTAAAGTATCTCCAACTGCGGGAACAGGACCGTGACACACATTTAAGGGCTGCTTTAAGATTTTCTTTCTGAGATACTTGCTCTTATCCTAGCATGAACACTACTTTTTTAAAGAAGTTAATACATAGTTTTCATTTCCCGGTTCTCTTGCATTTTAGTTATATGTAATTACTGCACTATTTCTGTAATGATCTTTGCATGACCATTTTGACTAGGTCCAGCATTCTGAAAATCACATTTAGTATTAATCTTTTTTTTTTCAGTGTAGACAAAAGTTTTTTAGTCAGAATATGGGAAGTTTCTAGTTTGCCAATAAAGTGTCAACTTTGGTAATATTATCTGGCTTTTCAGTGTTTCCCTTTTCTTCTCAATATATACAGAAATTCACATATGCACAATACATGCCTAAAGTAATTTATGCCTAAAGTCACTGCATTGTGATATTTCTATACCTGAATTAATACAAATGAATACCCAAGTCCACGCATGCTTTGTAGGCCTAATGTGGTGACATATGGAAACATTTATAGGACAATTTGTATACTCAGCAATTTGGGATTCAGAAAGCTGGAGCTTATTATTATGATTCTAAAACCATCATAATTTCCCATTAATGACAAAAATTATTAGATATATGAAGTATGAGAATATTGTTCTCCAAATTATTAGTAGTTTAATGACATTTTGAAAAGAATTACTAGAGATGTCATTATGCTATTTACCCAGTGGTATTCTCATACTGTCATTCATAACAGTGAGTACGATAAAATATTTTACTTTCTGTAGAATAACATGTCATTCAATATTGCACTTTTCATATACTAAAAACCTTTTAAACTTATTAAAAGAGTAAAGTGCCAGGCATGGTGGCACATGCCTGTAATCCCAGTACTCAGGAGGCTGAGGCGGAAGGATTACCAAGAGTTCAAGGCCAGCCTGGGCTACACAGTGAGGTCAAGGCCAGCCTGAATTACATAGCGAGACCCTGTCTCCAAAAACGAGCAAATAAGGCCAGGGATGTAGCTCACTGGCAAGCACAAGGTCCTGAGTTTGATCCCTAGCAGTGGAAAAAAAAATTTAAGAAGAACAAATAAAAATTAAAAAAGAATGAAAGTGTACAGTTTACACAAAATCTCAAGAAAGTATTTTAAAAGCCAATATGTTCTCTAAGAAAAAAGAATAGAAACTATCAGGAAACAGTGCTGTTCTTCTGATACAAAGATCTATATGAGAACCGTCCTTTATCCAGCTTTGATAACTGGTTAGTGAACATGGATTTATAATAAGTTTTGTGCCTTCAGAGGTGAGTGATCTATTCTACTTACCCTCTACGAGAGTTACTTTCTGTACCACACCAATTGAAACTATCCAGTAAGTTTTCAACAAGTTACCTGTGCCATATTTTTCATATCTGTGTGGTTTCTCGCCAGTAATTCTCTTACCTTATGGTCGTATGTGTGACTAAAAGCTTTGCTACTCTATATTTGCATGTTTTTTCTAATATAAATATTACACTGTTCAGAGGTTTATATTTTTGATAAATGTCTTCTCAGTCACTGCAGATAAAAGGTTTCTATCCAGTATGGTTTTTCTGATGTTGAATCAGGACTAAATGTTAGCTACTTTGCTTCATTTGCATTTGTGTGGTTTCATGCCAGTAACAACTGTCTAACTCCGAGTAAGATGTAAAATCTGTCACAGTCTTTGCCGCATTCTTTTCAATGGGTGTGATTTTATGTGCTGTATTAAGAATTCCATGATGTCTAAAGCTTGAATTATGGAAAAAGCTTTGCCTTATTTTTTACATTGGTAGGGTTTCTCTCAGGTATGAACTATCTCGCGTTCAGTAAGGCATGAGCCCCGCTAAAGGCTTTTCCACGTTTATTACATTGCTAGAACTCTCTCTGGTGTGTATGCTGTGGTGCTCAAGAAGGGTCTGAGTACTGACTAAGGGCTGAGCCACACTTGTTGAGGTTCTTTCTAGTGTGAATTCTCTGCTGCTGGATTAGTCTGGAGCTTTGATCAAAGGATTCATCACATTCTTCACATGTGTAGGGTTTTTCACCCTTATGAATTCTTTGGTGTTGAATAAATGTGGAGATCTGACCAAAGGCTTTGTCATATTGTTCACATCTGGACAGTCCGTCACCAGCGTGCCCTCTCTGGAACTCTGACTGAAGGCTTTGCCTCACTGCCCACACCTGCAGGGCTTCTTCCCAGCATGAGCTCTCTGTGTTGAGTAAGTCTGAAGGGTCCATCAAAGGTTTTGTCACATTGTTTACATCGGCAGTGTCTCTCTCTGGTGTGAACTGTGTGATGTCCAGTAAGGTTTGAGCACAGTCTAAAGCCTCGGCCACATTTGTTACACGGTCAGGGCTTCTCACCAGTGTGAATTCGGGGGTGTTCACTAAGTTTTGAGTGCTTACTAAAGGCCCTGCCACATTCTCTACACTTGTGGAGTTTCTCTCCAGCATACATTCTCCAGTGTCCACTGTGTTCTGAATGCGATTTCAAAACACCTGGGTGTGCGGCTGCTGTCGCTTGTGTCTGCACAGTCCAGGGCTCCTGGCTTTGCTCGGATAGGTGCTCAGGCTGAGAGGCTGCTGGACCCAAGGAGAAAATGTTCCTGTAGCTCTCTAACATTGTATTCCTATACAAAGTTCGCTGAACAGGGTTCAGACATTCCCAACGCTCCAGAGAGACATCGACGCCCTCGTCTATAAATGTCAACAGCTCCTGCAACACCTTGACCTGAGAAAATGCCATGTCTTCTTCCTCTTTCTTCTCCGGGCTTCTTCCTCAAGGTTAAGTTGTGCTCAGTCTGAAAATGCCTAGCATGTGACAACCACTGGGTCAGCCCGCAGGCGATGTCACTGTGGACGCAGGAGCGCGTGTCCCGTGTCATTCCACGCATTTCCTGCTCCTCCGCACCGCTCCCCGGCAGAGCTGTTTTCCGTTACAGGGTTTAAGGTCGCACTGTTCACACTCTTCTTGAGCCTGCCCCGGAGGTCACACGGGCTCCCTGTGTCTGGTCGGACCCCAGGTGAACACCTCAGAGCCCGGCTCCGACGAGGTGCAACCCGGCCACAGCGGCGGACCACGGGGAAGCCCGCCCCGCGCCAGGTCCACAGAGGCCCTCAGGTGGCAGCCGGTGCCTTTAGTGTTAATCTGGATTGACCCAGGAATTAGCTTTGAGCAAGTTACCCTGTTTCTACAGTAAAGATGCTACCTTCTGAGAAGGGTTGAATGAGGTAATCTGAATGAAAATACCTGTCCCACAGAGACTCGTAAGTACCGTTTCCACCTTCAGCCAGATGGTGTAAGTTTTTGTCACAGTTTTGATGAAAGATACAACATGGTGTGAGGGAGAGAGCAAAGCCTGGTGTCAGAGTCTTCTCAGGTCCTTGTCTCCGGCGTTTTCTTGTGTAAAACTGATTTGCAGGAATCATTATGTAAAACCTTGGCGTATTGCCTGACTCTCATTAAAAGCAGTTCTTACAGTACCTTGTTTATCTAAGTCCTTTAAGTCTGCTTCTCTTTCTGAGATGTCTTCCTAGTGAGAAATCTCTAATTTGTTGTACAAATCATCGTTCTTGGTCAAGTGTGGGGTATGCATTGCTGAAATCCAGACCCCCGATTCAGGGGACTTTTACCGAGCCCCGGCGAAACCAGGCCTCTTCCAGGAGCTGCTCTGCTCAGGTGGCCCCTGCCGTGGCCGCCCACACCCACCCAGACCTCCCCACCTACTCCGCATGGCCGTCGCAGAAGGAAAGCCACGTGGCCTCCACGGACACGCTGGCGGACCCGGGCTGGGAGGCAGTGGGGGGAGCACGCAAACAGGATGCGGGTTCGGCTCGCGGTCAGAGTGAGGTGGCAAATGATTCACTGTCACCCCGAGTGCGGAAGGAACAGGGCAGCGCTCTGCGATGATAAGAGAAATGGTCAAGTCGGTAGGAGTGGACAAGGAGGGTTTACTAAAACTTCCGATCCAGCAAAGATACAGAACCCCCGTGGTGAGGCTCACATCTCACGATTCCGCAGTGTCCTTAGTTGGGTAAGAAATTTTAAAAACAATACAATGCCTAATTTATTTTAAAAACACAAGAAATATCGTCATAACAGCTTATTAATAAAAGAACAAAAGAAGAAATGTATTCCCCGTTCCAGAGTTAACTGCTGTGTTGAATAAGAAATTTGCACCATGCCAGATGTTTGCTTATTAAAAGAATCTGTGTAAATCTTAGAGACACTGGATTGGGAACTGGAGGAAATCTCAGAGATTATGGAACTGACTCCTCTGAGAGGAAAAAAAAAACGAAAACCTAAGACCACGCAGCTGGCAACACCGTGAAGCTGGGAACCAGTAAGGATCCTGAAGAGCTTGGGCCCCTGAGACAGGGTGGTGGTGCGAGAGGAGAGAGACCGCCCCTGACTAGCGCCAAAAGCTTGAGAAAGTGAGGCAACCTGGGCCGAATGTAAAAGGAGGGCGTTAACCGCGTGACTGGGAGTCGTCTTCCTGCTGAAAACCCTACTTTAAGCAGGAGGCAGAGCCACACATTTAGTCTCCTATAGACAATAAACTGATTAAAAACTAATATAAAGCAACTCAAAATGGCCTTGCTTTTTATAATTCAGTCAGGTCGGCCCCAAAATATTATTTAAAAAATGAATTTCACTTTCGCTTTCTCATTAAAAATGTTTCAGGAAGAGAATTGATATTCTCTTATGCTATTAGGCATTTAGCTTTACTCCAGGCAGGCATAACATTCATCTACTAACTTACATAAATAAAGACAATACGGTATCTTTCAGGTAGTTAATCTTCTAAATAAATTGGAACTCCTTATGCATGGTTTTCCTTGTGCCTGAGCTGTTTATTTTTCTTTATTGTTTATATTTGACACTTTGGAACCCACATGATGAGGTGCCCTATAAACAGTCCTTTATTGCAAAAGACCTATTTCTTCAAGCATAAAACTTCTGTGCACTGCACTTACACAGAGGCAAGTGTGCAGATGGATCAGCGTTATAGTTCCCTTTCCATGAAATACTGTGTCATGGAGCTGACTGTGCTGTGGGCACCACTCTTCAGAGCAGCGGGGAGATGGGTAGGGGGAAAGAGGGGTGCTGCCCTGTTACGCTGATAGCAGCTTGTCATGCATCTGCTAACCTCAAAACTTTAGTCCTCAGAAGCGTTTCCCTTTTCAGTATGATATGTTTTTAATTGAAAAAATTGGGAAGAGCCATAGCAAATAGTGGGAGCATTTTCGTGTGAGTTATGAAAACACGGTTGTAACCTGCCTATGTTCTCTCTTTAAAATATTTCTCCAAATATGAGAAAATGAAAATATAATGGAAACAAAGTCTTTGTAGATCGGGAGGATGGGAGGGGTTGACGGGAGGGCAGGGGATGGGGAAAAATAAGAAGAAATTTTTTGCTCCAGTCTCAGGAAGAATCCTCAGGGGAGACAGTCTCGCTCAGTGTCATCCTCTGAAGAACGCTCCTTCGAGCCCGTCTCCGTTTGGTTTGGGGATACAGACTGCCGCCACGTCTCCCCCTGCCCTGCCCAAGCGGTTGCTCCTGTAAGCGCTGACCTGAGCTCCATCGGGGCGCATGACAGGACTCGCAGCCTTCTGCTGCTCAGCGGGGCTCGGCCTCAGCGTGGGGGCCCGCAAAGGGTCTCTCAGCGCCGGTGCGGGGCGCCCACTGCATAGGACAGCCCCAAGGAGCCAAGCCTGAAGCAAAGTCCGCCACTCAGGCTCTGGATGTTCGCGGGTTGAGATGCTGGACCCCAGGATGCACCACTACGCCCTAGCCGGGGGTCAGGGCACTGTTTCGACCGCCAATGCCTTCTCTGTGGAACATGCTAGAACCCTCCCTAGAACACAGGGCCTGAGGACCTCCGACCTTGGCTCTCGACTTCAAAATAAACTGTCCCTTGTTAGGAAAAGTCTTAAAGTTTTATTCACACTCACTGTCTTCCTCGATGGTTACTCTTTTTCCCCAGTAAGTTTATCGGAGCGTTTTAGATGCGCATTACGGTAACATTCAACTTCGGGAACTTGTACCTTTATATGACATATCTTGATTCTTGTTTTTTTCCCCATTCCCTCCCCTTTCCTCCACTCCCCCATCCCTCCTTATTAACATATTGACAAAAATTTATTTCCTTCTTTTCTCATAGCTTTTGCTCATAAGTTTTTTGGGGGTCTGATATTTTAAAGTTCTTTATATGTTCTCGATAATGGACCTTTGTCTGAGGGACAGCTGGTAAAAAATTTTTCCCACATTGTGGCTTGTTTCTTCATTCTGAAGGTAGTTTCTTTTGCTGTGCAGAAGCTTTTTCATTAGAAGAGATACCAGTTGTTGATTCTTTGTGCTAGTTCACGTGTGACTGAGGTTCTTATCCTATGCCAATGTCTTCAAGAGTTTTATCTAACTTATCTTCTAGCAGGTTTAGTGTTGGTATTGGCAAAGAAATAGACCCGAGGATCAGTGGAACAGATTAGAAGATGCACAAACAACTCCAGACACACTCAGCCATCTTGACTTCGACAAAGGAGTCAAACATCCTCACTGGAAGAAAGATAATCTCTTTAGTAAATGGTGCTGGAAAAAATGGGTTTTATCTTGCCAAAGATTAAAACTAGACCCACATCTCTCACCATGCACTAAACTAAAATCAAAATGGATCAAAGATCTTGATGTTTATTTTTTAAGGCATATGAGTTTTATAAGCTACTGTATTTCATTGTAGTTACTCCCTTCCTCTTCTCTTGTCTAATAATAGAACAGTCTCCAGTTGTCCTTTTCAGTTTTGGAGATTGAACCAAAAGCCTTTTCACAGGGCTATATTACCAGTCTTATTTATTTATTTATTTTTTATGTTGAACAGGATGTTGTCCAGGTTGGGCTCCAACTTGGAATCCTCCGGCATCAGCCTTCTAGGGTGCTAGTGTTTCCAACATGTACCACCATAACTTCTTCCTTCATGTCTCATGTCATTTTTTTAAAAAAGATTTCACTCCTTAGGAGAAACATGCAACATTTGCCTTTCTAAGTCTGGCTAATTTTGATAAAACACGATGATCTCCGGTTCCATCTATTTTTTCTGCAAATGATATAATTTCATTCTTCTTTACAGCAGCATAATAATCCACTCTATATGTATATCACATTGTCTTTACCCATTCATCTGTTGATGAACATCCAGGCTGCAACAAACGTGGGTATGCAGGTCTCCCTACAGTATGCCAACCTGAATCTTGTTGGGTACCAAGCAGTGGTAATAGCTGGATCAAAAGGTAGCTGTAGTTTTAGCTTTGTCAGAAATTTCCTTATTGATTTCCATAGTGGCTGCACTTTCCTACCGACAGTGTAGAATGTCTTCTTTTCCCTTGCACTGGCATTTATTGTCTTTTGTGTTCTTGATGAATTTTGAGCCATTTTGACTGGGATGAGATGGAATGTCAG